GATCAAGAAAGACATTGCAGGGTGGGTGGTTGGTCTTTGACCTGAAGTTCAAGCCTAGAGCGTGAGTAGAACTGTAGTTTTTTTTCTGAAGTGGGTGCCTATATCTTCTATTTACCTGTGCTGGTGGTATGGTTTAACCCCAGCCAGCAACTAAGCACCACACAGCTTCTCACTCACTCCCCTCTGCCAGGATGAGAGCTGCTTTGGGGAAAATGAACTCTATCAAAGCCAAAACCATCACACAGCTGATTATGGAAGTGCTGACTAAGCCTGAAAACTATTTTGCACATGGATATTCATATAAACAGTTTTGCCATGTTTGTTTGTCACTGAAAGATAATATCAGTATTTTTGGTCTAACGTTGGCTCTGCAAAAATACTTTTATTTTACCACCTGGAGACAATTATCCAGTAAAATCTGTAAAATATTTTGCAAGCAGTTATCAGGCAATGACTTCAGTATCATTTTGAAGTTGTCGCACACGCTGTTACTTCCCATTTCTTGCACAAACTGTGGTTGACTCCAGAGCTCTGTCTACCTGAGGTTCCTCTAAGCAACCAGACCAGTTCCATCTGCCGCCCTCCGAGCTCGTCACTGAGTGGTTTGTGAAAACGTGGCTTGTCGTTATGAATTTCACGCAAGCTGCTTGCTGTCAGGAGTTGCGCAGCATTGCCGCTGCCATCCCAAAGCCTTTCTTGCTCTCTGGTATCAACGCATGACCATGACAAAGGTAAGACTTCTTATGTGTTAAGAAGCTGCAAACAATCAGTACTATGTGCTGTTATTGCATAGATATTCACAAATGTGCAATGCGAAGATTCAGTAAAAGATGTTTGATCGCACAGTGACTATGGGTTTTTAATGCCAGTTCGACAGCGTTAGTCCACAAGCTGTGAAAATTATTTATTGGATGCAGAAGACCTCTCACTTTCAATGTGTGGACTGCAAGACTGCAGTTCTTTTCTTCTGTCTTCAGGGAGCTGCCAGTATGGCAGAACTGATGGTGGGCTGGCCCAGCATCTCCTTCCCATGGCTGGCATCTGTATAGGGCAGGAAAGTAAGGATGTAGAGCTAGGGCTCAGATGCCACCACTGAAGTTCCTATAAGCACCAGGTGTCCATGGGGTCAATTGGATAATGTTTCTGAATAAATGCAAGGGCTACAGGCCAGCCTGCGTTACGGCAATGTCTTTTGAGATTAATGGTGAAGCTGTAATCTTAAAAGGCGTACAAATTCAAGTGAGGTGCATGGGTGTTGTTCTGTGGATAAGGAACAGCTGGCTGAAACCAAATGGACTGTCTGTGTTATTTCAGAGCAATGTATTTGTGCTGTCTTGGTCAATTGCTCAAGTTAGACTGCAGTGAAGGCTGTTCATGTCTGCTAGGCAAGTGAGTAAACACCTTATCCCTTGGATTTTGGTCCCCATTTCTTTATGTGGTCAGTCCTTGCTCAGCCTCATCCACACAGCAAAGGACCATGTTGACCAGGGCGTTGTTCCATCTCAGAGACACAGGGATAGGCCAGTGGGCAGAGCGGTGCAGGGGGGCTTCCTCTGCCAGCCTCGGGTGCCAGGCCAGCCCCACAGGTTTGTGGCATGAACTCCTTGCTAGTTCACTTGCCTGCATGCCAAGTGTTCATCTACCTCCTCAGACAGTGTTCTGTTCTCAGCTTTATCTTCTTGCTCCTAATCCAGTTCACTCTCTAGCAAGATGGGGTGACTGACACAGCAGGCAAATGGTACACTAAACTTTTTTTTTCTTGCACATCCTTTCCCTGTGATGGTTGAAATGCTGTCGTTGCCAGCAGGAACTGCAGATCATCACTTTACCTTCACCTTTTGGCAAAAAGGATCCTGATATTGCAGTCTGATACGTAGAAGGCTGATGTCACTCCCTGGCTCACCCGTGCAAGGAAAGAGCATTCCAGCAGAAAGGCCAAAGGCTAACCAGGCACAGAGAGCAGCTGGCAGCACAGGGGATCAAGTTCCACCTGCCAACAGGCTAAAGGCATGCTTGCCCCAGCCACGAACCCTGCTCTGTGCTGCTGGGCTGCCATCCCGAACAGGGACATGCACTGGTTAAAAACTACCCTAGCGAGGCAGATCAGGAGAGGTTTTAACCAGTGCAGCTACGGAAAGAGACATCCAGGGCTCCTCAGTGTCATCTACTTAGCAGCAGCCCCAGAGTTTGAGCATTGCCTTCAGGGAGTCGTCATTTCTGGGGACACCCCATTTTTGCAGGAGGAGGCTTGGCTTTTCCTGGGAGCTGAGGCAGTGCCTGGCAGCTAATGTAACCTCTGGGAGACTGAACTGGCCCCAGCTGTTGAGCTGCCCCTCCTTGTGGGTCACCAGCACAGGAAAATTACTGGGTACAATCTGCTGTTCTGGCTCTGGAGATAAACGGAGGACTTCAGTCCAGAACGGTACCTTACAGAAGCAATAAATTCTCTTTGGGAGCTAAAAAACAAACACCGAGCACACTTGTATTGCTGATGGAAATGCACTACCTTTTGCCACTACAAAGTAAAGGTAGATCTGTCTGAGCTTTGCTCATTAAATGTTCCTGAAGGCATTCTTTATCTATATGGGCTCATTGGAAATGGAGCTTTGCAGAGGAAAGTGGCTGTGTGCCATGGCCCAAGGAGCCCAGCCTGCACCAGGGTGCTTGTCCTGCTTCCTGTGGGGTTAAACACATACACTGGGGATGCTCTGTTTGTACGGGGGTCCCACAGAGCCCAGGCCCTCTCCTTCAGTCGCTGCCAAAGGTGTGCTATAGCCATGCCCATGCCCAGCTGTGAACCCAGTCACCCTGTCTTGCCCACTTGGGCCCCAGCTTGGCCTCAAAGCTGCCCTGACTCTGCACAGTGAACTGCACTGCAGACTACATCCAGTACGCAGTTTCCCCCACACACCACACTGCTTCATCAGTGAAGTCAGATTTCTGGTTTGTTTTTCTAGGCATTCGTAACGGAGGAAGCAATGTATGACGGGGATGGCTGGAAGGGGGATAGGAGGGAGGACTGCAGCTCCCTGCTCAGCTGGGTACAGCCACTACATCAAGCAGCAGCTCCTGCAAATCTGGGCCATCCCTGTGCCTTCCTCAAGGTTGGGGGGAATGATGAGGCAGACCCACGTGTTGTGGCTATGTCCAACCACTGCTTTGGTTGGTGCCAAACTGAGTCGCCTGATGGATGCAGTGCTAGAGGAAGGTGAGTGAGGGGAGAGCCTGCAGGACCTGACCCGTGGTATGGCAGTAAGAAGCACAGCCAACTCACCTGCCATCACTTGTGCTCCCCTGCCATAGTCGTAGTAAAAAATCCGCCCCTATTCAGGGGAAAAGTCAAGTGCTGTTTGCACTACAGGTTACACTACTCTTTCCCCAGTAAAAAGACGCCATAGCTGCTTCAAACAAATACATCTTGTTTCACACCTGCCAACTCTCAGGCCTTGGAAAAATGCTGCCTCTTCCAGGGGTAACCAGCTGGATTTGTATGGCCAGACAAACAGGCAAGTGGCCTGCATGCATCAACCACCCTTATATTCCCTGCATTATGTGGTTTGGAACAGACACTTCATATCCATGGAGAAAGGGGAGTGAAGGCCATGTGCTGATTCACAGTGACACCACTCTGCTTTTTGGACTCATCAGGATACAGGAATGTGCTGACCAGGGCAAGCAGAGCAGGTCTGACCTGTGAAAGGTGTGAAATCTGGTGAGCTTGGAGCTGCTCATGCCTTGGGCTCCTTCCACTGTTCTCCTAAGAAAAGCAGGCCTGCTGTCCCCCTGGAGAAAAGCATAGAATCATAGAATGGTTAGGATTGGAAAGGACCTTAAGATCATCAAGTTCCAACCCCCCTGCCGTGGGCAGGGACACCTTACGCTAAATCATATCACCCAAGGCCTCGTCCAACCTGGTCTTGAACACTGTCTGTCATGTCTGTCTCTGGAGCACAGCTCTCTTACAGCCACCAGCAGCAGATGCACTCAAAGTATTTGTGGGTTGTACAAGCAAATGCTGACCTCTCGCAAAGCGGGAGGGCCTGAATGGCTTCCTCAGTGCAGTTAACAAAAATGTAACTTTTTTAACCCATTTCAGTCTTGGATTGTGCAAAGCCATTTTGATTTTTAAATTACACGGAAGGGAAAAACATGGATTTCTTCCCACTTGGTACATCAGATCCGGGAACCTGATTTAAAACCTGATTGTCCCCAGATAAAAATTCACTGAAGGAGTGTCTCTGTGGTCACAAAAGATGTCCCAAGCACACAGAAGTAAAACCTGAGTGCTGTGTCCCTTCTGACCCTGCCAAGGGGAGTTCCATGAAACCACCTCTGCAGAATCTTTTTGATGACACTTTAAAAGCGGAGGTTCTCTCCCTGTGCATGGGCATGAACTCTCTGCCACACCTTCCTGTGAGAGCAAGGGGCCATCCCAGTGTTCCCAGCCAGCCTGTCACTCCCTGTGCCTCCCTCCTTCTCTTTTTATGGCCCTGGCCGGTTCTCTCTGGTTGCTGCTTCCCAGCCTGAGGAAGCTGCTGTTTAGTCAGCGGGATCCTGCAGGGAAAAAGCCGCAAGGTAACTGCTCAGATAAAGGGCAGTACAGTGCAAGCTGGAATGGAAGGCTGTGTGATGTGCTCTTGTGTGCTTTTTCAACTTAGTAACGCTTACACAAGCACCGCATTATGGCAAGGCAGGATTAGGTACCCACGGGACATGTTTTTACTATGTGCACAGGCTGTGAAGCCCCTGGTGTGCCTATGTGGAGTGGAAGCATGACCATGGATGCCAGTGCAGACCCCAGCCGGTCCCCCATGGACCAGCTCCTCCTCTGCTCTCAACCCAGTCACAGGCAAAGCAGGAGAACCCATGTCAAAATGCCCACTGTCCTCACCTGTCCAGGGCAAAACCAGTCACTTGTGCCAGCGCAGCTGATGATGCACACACAGACCAAATAGCAGCTCCAATAGCAGCAGGTGGCAAATGACTTGAGCATCCTCACTGGATGTAGCTACAGCTTTTACCTTGCCCCAGAAAAGGGGAAGTGGGGGGATTTTCTGTTTTCCCCAGTCTCCAAACTTGCCATTTAGACCTTTTCTGAAAAAAACTTTCATTTAAAAAACTACTTCTCTAAATAAAGTATTTTATCTAGAAAAGATCTTCTGTCCCTCCAATACCCATCTAAAGCTGGGTTTAATTTGAGGTTGAAAAGATCACCATTTCTTGCTGTCTGGTCACTGAAGGGAAGAACCTTAGTTTTCAATGTGGCCTCACTTGGAGCACACGCTGCTTCAGGAGGTAGCCAGGAAGGGTGGCTGGGTTATTCTGTAACTGCAGTGCCCAGAAAACACAATTCTTTCAGGGGTTAGGGTTATTTGCAGCCTCTTTACGAGAGACCTCCATGCTCTGCGTCACATCAGATAGCCCACAAGATTCTTCTGCAACGGATTACCTCTGGCAATGTTTTCCAGAGAGTTCATTTATTGCAAAAAGACCAAAGGTAATGTCTTTTCTGCGCTCACACTGACACCAGTTGTGTCTTTGAAAGGTTTAGCTCCAAAATAAGCATTCCAAAAAGCCTTATTCTCACCTGAATGTCTGAATAGGAGTGAAATTTCCTTCACGACTGTGTTCTGGGGGTGCATGGCCCCAGCCTGGGCCATGTGGCTCTGTGCACTGCCCTGGCTTTGGGAAGGAGCAGGTAAAGGAGGGACTGAAATTCCCATGGACTTTTCCTCTTTCAGTAAATCTGCACTCACATAGTGTCCTAAACACCCAGCCAGCATTCAGGAATCACCATGGAGCAGAAGCTGTTCACTGCTCTTGGCCCTTTTAATGGTAAAGCAGCTGCATGAGGAGCTGGAGCTAGCAAGAAAAAGAGGTTTTTAGGGCTGGGGGTGCTGTGGAGACTAACCACAGGTTCCCAGAGGACACAGACAGTCTGTATCAGGCAGCATCTAATGTAAAATGCTATAGCTGTCATTGCTTACACCTGATTCAGCAAGGCACATGCTGACACAGACGAGCAGAGTTTAAGCACAAGACATGAAATCAGATCAGAAACAAAAGTATAAAACCACAGCAGGATCACTGAGAGATGGGTTGACAGCACTTCTGAAGATAAGTGTGAATTAAAACTAACAATAAATTGCTCATCTTTTTTTCTACCCCTATTATTCACGCTTGGAGAGCAATCAGGTGCTGGGCATTCTTAGGCGTGGGGCAGGACCCAATCAGCGTCCTTGCGCAGGGTGCTTACCGCAGCCCATTGGTGTCCCCTGCCACCGGGCGCATATAAGCTCAGTGCTGGAGTGCAGCGAAGGCACTTGGCTGATAACGCTGGAGGTGGTAAGTATGGCTTAGCTATTACAGAACACTGCTTTTCCAATGGCGGAGTGCATGGGAGCCATGCCTACTGAGCAGGTAACTTTGCTGTGGAAAAGCATGCAAAGAGGAGGAATCTGGTAGCCTTTGCTTCTCAGCCTGTTCAAAGGTTGACGCGGATCCAGGGAGTGTCTGTGCTTTCAGAAAGGTCTGAATGAAGCTGAAACGTGGGGATGTTCTGGCTTTGTGCTACAAGGCCAGCCGGGTGGTAGAGGCGGTTGTCCGGGGAGCTTGTGCAGCCTCCATCCATGGAGGTTTTCAAGGGAACAAAGCCCTGAGCAACCTGGGCTGAAGGTAGCGCTGACCCTACTCTGAGCAGGAGGCTGGACTGGGCACCTCACAAGATCCCTTCCAGCCTGGGTCACTCCATGATTCTGTTAAACTGGTGTTGCATTTGTCTTGCTCAGTGACAGCAGTGCTGGGGTTTTCTTTAAATAGAGCAAGAAAATGTCATTTTGCTTTGGATGGGGCAGGTTCGCGTGTAACTCTGTGCCCTGCTGAGTTAATCTTACTTCCCCTGCATTTGAATTAATGAGTGTCTTGATTTTCTTCCTTTTGATGTTATCAGTGGAGTCTGATAACCTAATAATTACTATCTGCTATCTGCAAAGTACTCTATAAACATTAGCCTATGCTCTTTGTCATAGAGTTTCAGTGAGCGGCAACAACTACAGGACTGTTACATGACTGGTATCTTGGCTTGCCTCCCAGCTCCAGTAGATATTTCCATTTATCCTTTGTCCAGTGCCACATCAAGCTTCTCTATCTAGAAAAGTAACAAGGCCATTGCAGGGTACCTACCACAGGTCAGGTATATTTGACAGCCTGATCAGATGATCAGTTTCATCAGATGAAGTTTCAGGCAGGGGTTAGGAGTTGTACTGGGACAGGGGGTTTGGAACTAGATGATCTTAAGGTCCTTTCCAACCCTAACTATTCTATGATTCTATGGTAGGTGAGAGTTTTGGTAATCAAGAGAGGACGTATCTACGATTTATGACATAAAATGACTGAAAACTGCACTGGAGGCAGTGTGGGGAGATGTTTGCACTGGGTATTGCTCCTTTCAGTCATTCCTGGCTGCAGTCAGATTGTCCATGCCCCTTTCTGTCCACATTTGCTACCCAGCCTGCATGTTTATGGAAGTGACTGCTGAGACCATTAGCAGGGGAGCAGCTCACTGGTGTCATGTCAAGGCCTCCAAAAGATAGGGGAAAGTCAGTTTCTTGCCATTGGTACTGTACCAGGTCATCTGCCATCTCATACAGACAGTATTGGGGTTCCTACAGTGCAGGTAATTTCTAAGGTTCCCTTCGGAACCAGTGGTTTCAGACATATCTTAATTTAAATCCAGACCCTGGGCACAGTGATGCCGACATTTTTTAAGTGATTCATAACTAGAAGATCTGTGCAGTGCTGCAGCACCACACCAGGAATTAACCAGCCCTTGAGAAGATACATGAGAAATCCTCCAGCAGAGAGGAATGTAGATGTTGGCAAGGGCCAGGTCTTGTTTCTTTGCTCTCCAGGCATCTAAGAAAGCACATCTGGATCTGCTTTGGGTGAGCAAACAAATGAGATGCCCATTCTTGCCATTTTTTTTATATCAGATGTTAAGGGAACTGAACACAATGAGCAGAATACAATCGTTATTTTAGAAGGCAGAAAGCCAGTAATACTCTTCCTTCCATGCAGTCCTCCAGCACCAGCCGCCTCAGCATGGCATGTTGCCTTCAACTCTTGGCTTGAAGGCCAGGTTGGCTGCTCCAGGCAGGGGCGATGCTGCAGCTTGTGGCACTTCTTGGTGGCAGCGAGGTAGGAGCTTGGATCCAGCTGTCTTCAGGTGGGTGCCTGAAGGGCTTCAGTGTGCTCCTGAGCCCCCAGGGGAGCCCCCAGGGGAAGATGGGACACAGGCAGCATGCCCACATAGTTGGGGCTGGAGGGAAAAGGGGGCTTATGTGGGGCTCCACAGACAACGTCAGCCTCCCTTGGGCTGATAATGTCAGCAACATGCTGGCAAAGAAGGAAAAGACCCACAAAAGGAGCTCTAATAATTTCAGCCCTCTGCCTTTCCTCTCCTTCCACCTCACTGTGAAACGGTCAAGATGGGCATCACCAGGAAAAAGAAAACAAGAGAAAGAAAGATACTTGTAAACCAGCTTGCCTCCAGTTTGGTTGGTAACCAGTGACCTCAGTTGTGAAAGCGTGCAGGCGCCTCTGGTATGCTGCAGCTTATCTCTTCTTTACCCACAGATGACTTTTGCTCCTTCCCAGTTAATTCATTAGGTAAATACAGATTTACTGGGGGAGACACACTCAAGGCCAACACAAATCCTGGCTTGCAAGGAAACAACATTTTTATTCTTTTTCCCTTAATCGTCCCAAGAAAGAGCAGATTTGGGGGGGAAGAGCACTGAGAGATAAAGTTTGCTGGAAGAGTTGTTGGCTGCAGAGTCCAAGCCATTTTGGCATGACCATCCTTGCACCTTCATAGTCTCTCTCTGCTTTGTGAGACTGGGGTTAGCGTGTCCGGAGGAGAAAAGGCAGCTCAGTGTCTGATGTGAAGGCAATCCAGTGTCTGCTGCCTGCTGCCCTGCTTCAAGCTGCAGTCTTGGGGCCAGGCTGCAACATGAGGTTGTTGACGTCCATCCTCAGAGATTCCCTAGGGCTTCTGGTGGAGAAGCAAGCCTGACCACACGCCGTGGTGCTGCTCGAACACCAGTGTGGTGTACTTCTGTGTTTCAGGGACAGCCCAACACCCAGGAGAAAACCACAGCCACATCCTCCCGGCCAGTGTGGAAGCCACTGGGAAAGCACAACGTTGACCTCAGGTAGTCCTGACGTGCCGCTTCCAAGGAGCTCCAGCCAAGTGGGTGAAACGGGCAAGCGAGCAGGAGGAGGATGGCAGAAACGGTAATTCAGGCTGTCCTTGGGCTCACGTGAGGAGCCACAGATAAATTAGGTCATGAGGACCCAGCCACAACAGCGTGCTGGCTTCTGGTCTGGCCGCTCTGACTCAGCTGGGCTCTGCAGGCACAGCAGGCAGCCCGGGTAGACAGGAGCGTCAGAGCCTTGCCTTTATGGCCTAGGATGAAGATGATGCTCTGTGGACCTGTTGGCCTCCACTGTCTGAGCTGCGCATGTTGGCTCCAGCATCCTCCTGTTAGTGGCCTGAATTTCCTCCTGCAGGGCAGTAGCCAGAGTGGCTTTCCCACATTCCCTCCACTTCAAGTGGCTGCAGACCTGATCCTTCTGCAGGCAACCCTCTGCGTTTAGAACTCGTTTAATCCTATTCTTTTTCCAGTTTTACCTGCTCTGCTCCTATAGTTGTTCCTGATAATTTTATTTTGCCTTATTATTTGATGCTGAGAGCCAAAAAAGTATTTCTCAGTCACCCAAAAATTCCCCCAGGATTTACAGCCTGCTCTCACCACCAGAATCATTCTCTAAGCTGTTCTATGGTGGAACTTGCTCTGTACCCCTGAGCACCTTTGCTGCCCTTTCCTGAAGTTTTGTTCCTATCAATTCTCTCTTTTCATTTTTAACACACTAAGATGCCAGAGTATAGGTGTCCTCTGCCGCTTTGAGGCCATTCACTACCACCACACAAGTATTCTCAAATGATTGCTGGGTAGACTTACCTGCAGTTTTTTTTCAGTGTTAGAGTGACAAATACTGCTCTTGACAGAATAATTAATTACAAAGTATTAAATTTTCTAGTGGGAGGGATGTTTCAACATACATTAAAGCAGGGGAAGATTGACTGGAGATGGTGGCCAGATGATTATTTACCATGTACATGGTCTAGTATACCACTCCGAAAGAGCAATTCTACGCGTCTGTTAGAATCAGGTGTTTGAAATGCCAGTAGGGATGCCCCGTGCAGGCTGCCTTCACACCCAAGTGTCACTTCTTGCCTTCCACAATGATTGCCAAGGTGCCTGCCTGCTTTTCCTGCCTGCTTGTCCTCCCAGGTGACGGTGGGTCTCTATTTCCACAACACAGGAGCTGACCAAACTGTGCCCGCTCATGAACGGCAATTGTGTGGGAAATCATGAAAACAAAGCCGACAGCTCCTGGATTCTTCCCAACTTGCCCAGTAAGTGCACGTGGACACCTACAATGCCTGCCTCCAAGTCTCCACACTCCTGCGTGCCCTTGTAAGTAATTCTTTCATGCTGGTTATTTCAGAGTGCAGACTATCTTTTTCTGAAGAGGAAGTAAATAGTACTTCCAGTTACACCAGGATGGTCATGACCTGAAGTCAGCAGTTACTTGTCAGTACGAAGCAGTTTGGAGCATCTTATTTTAGAAGAATTCAGAAGAACATATTTCAGAGGTAGATTTCAACCAGGGTCTTGTACACATCTGCAAAGTGGACTCTGCGAGGTCTGGTGTTGCACAGCACAAGTGAAGGCACTTCCAACATGCTGGAGGATGTGCAGTAATGGCTCTCCTGGCTGCAGTGTAATGCATGCTTGCACTCCAAAGCTGTGCACCCATCCTGCTCTACAGCACAGTCAGTAGCAGTTACGCAGTCATCAGTTGAAGGGTTGTGGTTTGGCTACCCTTCTTCATTCGAACAGTCTGAAGCTGTGTGTAAGAAGATTTCAGATCACTAGCAATGTCTTTACTGATAGCTAAGAGACTTTCATGAAAACCAGGGCCTGGGCTTTAAAATAGGCAGAAAATGGTCCACACGGAGGATGCCCACTATGTGTAAGCAACACAAGAGTGCAGTGCAAAGCAAAGTCATTGCTCTGAGTGGTTCTTGTCCTCACAGCAGCGTGTTTCCTCCCAGGGTGAGATAAGCCTGCCAAAGTGCTCAGACTAGACTCAATGAGAGGCGCTTTAATAGCTTGCCAGAGCAGACACAGACAAGCTATTAAAGATAAGGCTGTCCTATAAATGTCAGGGGAGCTGCAGACACGTCCCTGCGGTGCCAAAGATGTAAAACATGACTTAGCTCAAGCATGTGAGGAACAGGAGCCCATGGGAGGTGCGGCACTGCTCTGCATGGATGCCTGCCAGCCGGGAGCCAGCTGGAGGAGCGTCACACCACGTGCCTGGCAGGACATGGCCAGAGCACAGCCACTGGTGTGTGTGGAGCCCAGAACCACCTCTGGCTCTGGCTCAGGAACTGCCAAAGTGGAATCCACAGCCTTATTGCTGACCTGGCAAATATGCATCCAGGCATGCACTCAGTGCAACCCCTGTAGCTGCTGCCTGAGGATAGGACCAGCTCTTTTCAGTCAGACTGGGGTTTTTCTCTCAACCAGCCAGGATAGTATTTCTGGCTTTTAACAGTTTAGCACTGGGGTGCCAGGAGATGGGCAGCTGGAGTAGGAGGGCACTGGGGCAGCCTCACATCCAGGAATCAGGTACTGGGGTCTGGATGAGGGGCCTGTGCAGCATCGCTGGGGCAGGGAATGAAACATAATCCACTGTACAGCAGTGAAGAAAATACACCAGGACACATCTCACCATTTGTTTTCTGTTACAGCAATGAATGGAAGGGGTGGTTTGGTTTCTCCTCTCTTGGTAAACCACAGATAGCACTGAAGTAGCAAAAATCTCTGGATTTTCTGAGATTCCTGTGTGCAACTTGGTTGATTTTTGGGGGGTAAAAGCAGAGGATGGGGGCAGAGGGAGATGTTATTTCAGTTAAGAAGACAAGATGTTATTTTAACTAAGAGTATTAATTAATTTTTTTTTTTTCCAAATATACAGAGCTAGAGTGGCTCTGAAATCCTTTGAGCCAATTCTGACCCGCCATAATCTCAACAACAATCACTTTGTTTGCCAGGATTGATTTTTTCCCTGGACATCTTACGGAATAACATGCCATGAGTAAAAGCAGGAATCCTAGCAAAATAACATCCTTGTCCTCTGCAATCCTGAACAGAATCAGCAGCTGCAGGACTAGAGTGTCCGCACTGCGTCCTTTAGGAGCACCAAAGGCGTTTGTCACAGACATCTGTATTCCCATAGACCTGCTGCCTCCAGGCACATGCAGCTGGGGAAGGAAGCTGATCATGCTATGATTATTTATCTAGTAAAATATGGTGGTGATTAGGAAAGGTATTTGACGGGAGCCATAGAAAATCTGTTGGTGGGAATGCAAAAGAGCAGGTCAGTTTCTGGTTCCCACCTCCACCCTCCCCGCAAGGCTTACACCGGCATGCATCCCCTTCTCCATCCCCTTGCTAGGGTCCACCACTGCAGACCCTGGAGCTGCACAAGCGTCTCACTGTGCTGTATCGATCACCTCTTGCTGGGGTTCACATCTTATTCACCACAGTTATTAGGTGAAGGCAAATAAATGGCCTTGCTTTCTTCTCTCAAGCTGTCTTCCTGCAATATAGATGTGTAGCGTAATACACAGATCACTCTTTTGAAAGGCAGTGTTTAACTCTCTAGTTAAACATAGCCTGAAGGAGCTGGAGTCTCCCTCTGCTGTGGCTCAGCCCCACTGAAATCGCTGAGTATTTGGTGGCTTTTAGAACAGATGGGAAATGGCTGCAGCAGTGGGGGAAGCTCATTTACTGAGTTATTGCCTCACATTTATCAGCACTCAGTAGAGGTTGCAATGTGTGCAGTAATACTTTTCATGGAGGGAGAGGTAACAGCACGCGAGTAATACTCCATCTTTTCTGGGCTTGCGGTGTAAGAAGGCTGGCTCCTTTTGGTGGTAAAGACCTGCACTAAGCCACTACCCCTGTACTCTTGCAAAGCAAGAAGTGTTTGTTTCATTCACTCTTGCAAAACCCAGAGGGAGGTGTGTGTGTCTTTAAGTAAATCTGCACGTCATTCCTGCACCACATGGACTTTCTGTCAGCAGACAGCCATCTGCCTGGCTGTGATAGCTGACGAGGATAACTTGGGTTCAAGGTTCAAAGGATGATAGTAGGCAAGAGCTGTGCAAAGGAGAGCTGAGCAGTGAGGGAGTGGGGCTTTGCCACCCCACTGAGAGAGAGACGTGCTGGCTCCCAACCAGGGGCAATACTTTTGTGGACTCAATAAAAGCAGCCCTCATCAATCTTTCCCCTTTGTCTTTTAAAAAGCTCAAGGACATGAGTCCTCTCACTGCATGGCAAGATGCATTGGCTTTGGGCATACAAGTCCTTCATTATGGTTTCAATTGCTTTGACATGGTTCTTGGCTTCTGCTGGACCCTGAGACTAGCAGAACGGGAAGGCTGGATTCCACTGATCCAAGGGTTTGGTTTAATTATTTGCAGAAAGCACCCTCCAGAGTGTTTTGTGTCTTGGGCCTGTCAGATGCCTGGGAGCCATCCACGCATGTGGCCAGGCAAGCAACAGATGGCCCTGAGGTAGCTGAAAATGTGAAGAGCAGAGATGGCGATGGGTAGGGTGGAGAAAAGAGGAGGAGCCTTACACTGTGCATGGCCTTCTGGCTATCTCACACACTGTATCGAATCCCAAGGCTTGTCAGCTCTTCTCACTGCACTTAATTACAGGCCTGGCCCAGGACCTTGCAGAACAAGACATTTCAGAACAGCCCTGAAAATTAATTACCTTATTTTTTATGCAGAAGAATTAATAACTCATTGTAGGAGTGATGGAAAACCGTCACTGGCTCCTGTTGCCATTAATTGTCAATGGGGACGTTTTCTCTTGGAGTCGGGTTGTCTGTCAGTGGCCTTGCTAAAGTTGCAGAAATCTCACTCAAATTTTATGTTGTTTCATGTTGCATAACAGTTGTTTTGATTTGATGTATTTCTCTTTTCTCCACTTCATTTCAGACCAGAAGAAAAAAAGATCTTGCCCAACATCCTGAAGAGAATTGGCTGCACCCCAATGGTCCGAGTCAACAAGATTGGGAAGTCCTATGGGCTCAAGTGTGAGCTCTGTGAGTGTCCCCTTTCCACCAGGTTTTTCCATGCCATAAGGTGAGGGTAAGGGGTGGTGTTGGAAGAGGGCTTCAGAAGAGGCTCTGTCGAGAGCAGGCACAGATAGATGGGGAAGGCCAGAGGTGGCGCGTGTTGGGTTCTCCCACTAATTAGGTTACACCACAGTCATCTCTCAGACCAGATAGGATGGTTTCAAGCTGCAATGAATAGGGCTAATGGTAGTAGAGGCATCTCTCTTCCCACATAACTGAAGCATAAGCTCAGAGCAGAGCTGGGCTGAACTTGTGGATGGGTGGATGTCATCCTGACATCGGGCAGGGATGCTGCAGCACCTGCAGTAGTGTGCTGTGTGCACGGAAGACTGGCCAAGCCTTCATGAAACATGGTGCCTGGGATGGGGTGAAGGGCACGGTGGGATCCTTCCCACAGCCTAGCCGGGCAGAGGAAGCATCTCAGGTTGCAGGGACACACACCAGCATAGCCCCTGGCTGCCAGACTGAGCTCCCATGCAGCAGGGACTCTGCTCTGCTGTGGAATCATCTCCACCAGGTCAGCTGGAGCTGGGCCAGGCGCTGCCCTGCTGCATCTCTCTCTGTGGAGCAGTGACAGTTTCCCTCGGGGGCCTTCCCACAGTGCAGCCAACGGGCTGGTTGCAAGGCCAGGTTTTCCAGCAGGACTCAAGTCTTCCCTCTGTTGGGATGTTAGCACAATGCTGGTGTTATCTCATGTAAGAGCTGGTTTTAACCTGGTTGCCTTCAGAGATTAGGAGAGTAAGATTAGGCTCTCTTTGTGCATACAGACCTCTCAGTCTCCTTTCCTTCAACTTTTAATGCTATTAAATCATTTCAGACATATTAGGCAAAAAGATGTTTTGGAGGCAGATTCATGAGCATTACATAGCTGGGTATGAAGGGGTGACTTGATGAGTGCTCGCAGTAAAATTGCACAGTAGGACTTTGCAGTCCTGTTTGGCAGCTGGAAATCCACACACCAGCCCATTGCCACCGGACACATGGCTGTGTGAAGCGTGTTGTGCTCTTTGACCAGATCCTCTCTCAGGATCTGGGATCTTCGGACCCATAACCCTGCAACCTCCCCGTTGCACCAGAATGAGACCTCAGGGGATGTTAGGGGACCGTGGAACACAGGTGGCAGAGGCAGGAGGACAGGTCTGCAGTGTCTGGCCCACCTCTGGAGCAGTCTGTCCCTTGGAGAATGTCGGCTTAGGGACATGGGAAGATTTGGTGCCAGCAGCAGCCGGGCAGCCAGGGAGACCCTGTTTGCTGGGACGGTGTCTCCCTCCCCTGGCGCAGGAGGGGAAGGAGAGCAGGGCAGGCAGAGCAGCTGCATGGTCCTCCCGGAGCTGCAGGTCAGCACACTCTTACCAAGCAAACACACGAATGCAGCACTGCCTCATCGAGGGAGCAGTTATGGTTGGAGGCAATTAGCGGGTAATCCCTGTGCCTCCAGGGATCCCTGTGTGTAGCGCTTTGCATTATAACATGTAACAATGAGCACAAGGGGGTTTATCCCCATTCTGTCTGCTGAGGTATTGGGTTGATTTCTCAGCCTCAAGTAGCTGTCTCTGCTGGATGAAGTGAATGACACAAAAAAAGTACCCGTTTCTCCCTGGTGTCTGTAAAACAGAGCTTGGTATCACCCGTTCAGATGTAGATGCTCATCAAAACCTTGGTAAGAAAAGCCCTGCCCCGAGCATCAGCTGTGTGTGGCGCCTGAATGGGAAATTGAGGTGTGCCTTGTGGTTTGAGTGTGCCATGGCAAGTCTCCCTTTCTTGTTGGTAGCTTAGTGAAGAAGTTATAATTTTGACTGACACTTAAAGGTGCTCTTTCTGTTGTTCGTTTTTCTTTATGGCTCCCCCTTCAGGAATACAGATCATCCTTACAGAAGGGCACCTTCTCAGCCATGCCCCAAGAAAGACCCTGAAACCTTACTGTTAACCCTGACAATACCATGCTCACCTTATGTTCAGCTGATTTTAAACCCATCCTAGACTTACCAGCACTGCCCGCTACCTTGAGGGTGCTGCAGGTATATGAAATGTAGGGGAAAGATGGACTTTTAGCATCCCGTAGTGGGTGATTTAATGGTGGGTAATGCTACGACAAGCTGGCACCCTGTAAGCAGATGGTCAATGTGCTCACCTGTGCAAAGGATCATCCTGCAGGGGAGGAATGGGTATCTTCAAATGACTGCAGCAAGGGCTGGGGGAGCAAGTAGCTGATGCTCCCGGCAGCAGCTTGTCCCTGATGGAGCCTGCCCTTTCATTTCCAGTGGCAAAATGTGAGTACTTCAATCCGGGGGGCAGTGTAAAGGACCGCATCGGCCTGAGGATGGTGGAAGATGCAGAGCGAGCTGGGATTATAAAACCAGGAGACACGCTCATTGAACCCACTTCAGGAAACACAGGTGGGAACAGCAGGGATGCTCCCAACAGCTGGATACCCAGCAGGGTGGCATGTCAGAGGGGCCGCAGAGGGGCAGGTATTCAAGGAGGTCTTGCACTTGGAGTTACGTGGTCAGCTTGGGACCCCACAGCTCTGGCTCCATCCTCCCCTGGGCTCCTTTCCCAGTGGCCATGGGCATCCTGGAGTGCCTCGCTGCTGAAATTTGCAAGCACACTTGCACACGTGTGCCTGTTGGGCTACCTGTGGCAAGGCAAACAGCTTCAGAAGCTGGAGGAGCTCAGGCAACCCTGGGTGTTTTCAGGCTGGGAAGCTCTAGAATACCCAGAGGTTCCCAGGGAGTGTTTCCCTGATGGGCTGGAAGATAAATCATCCGGATTGTTTCACTGCCATCCTATTCAGGCACCAGATTATGGTGGGGTGCAAAATGAGGGGGGACAACAGAGGAGCCTCCCCTCTATTCTGTAGCCTGTGCAGGACCATTGGTGCAAGTTTGCATGTCTCTGCTGCACCAGCATCCTCACCATGGTGGGGACATGTATGTGCACAGCATGCTTTCCTGCAAAAATGCCCAGTGGAGGCAGTCAAGGTGCTCTGGACAGAGTGGAGACCATGTTCCCCCCTGCACTCCGCACCTCCTGCTCACTGGCCATGCAGAACAGGGCTCATCTATAGCCATTTTGCTCCTTACTGACCTGTCTTGCCCTAGCCACCCCAAGCTATGGGGTGAGGAGACCTGTGTGTCCCAGAGCTGTTCCCTGGTGGCTTCCTGCCCAGCCAGGGCAGGCGGGGTTGCACCATGTCCCCTACAGCCTCCCACAGGGACACACTCCTCCAGCCTCACCTTCCTGCTCTATGTGGGGAGCAGCTGGCTCCATCCATCAACCACAGTGAAACTGAAGCAGAGGTCCCCTTCATCTGCTCGCCATGGGGTGAAATGTGCAGCTTTGTGTGTGTGTGTCTCAGCCGAGGGCATCTGGGGAAGGGGGAAAGGCATTCCTGTGTTTTGGAAAACAGAGGAAGAGGCCTGAGCCTCGAGGGGGGGATGCAGGAAAGCTCTCCTCAGCTTTGCTATTCTTTCTGTGCCATGCTAATAGACGTCTGTGAGGAGGAGTGATGCTGCAGCTCAGCCTGCTTGTTCCACATTCGCCCATGCTCCCTAGGAGTGCTGGCACATGCTGAGAGGCTCACGAAGGATGCTCTTGCTTGTAGCTCATCAGGGAACATACCTAGGTTATGTTCACCGGCAGCAGAGATGAACATAAGCAGCAATGAATGTCAGTTAGCCTTGCCAAATGCTGTTGTCAACCATTTCCCTTTCCCCCCCACCACCTAGGAATCGGGCTGGCAATGGTGGCTGCAGTGAAAGGTTACCGCTGCATCATTGTCCTGCCGGAGAAGATGAGCGTGGAGAAGGTCAGAGCTCTGTATGGTATTATCCCGCAGGCAGGGAACATCTTCTGCCCTGTCTCTCTCTGCCTCTCCCTCTGTAGGGTTGGAGTACTCTCTCCTTTAAAGGGTAACAAACCTTACTGCACACACTGACATAGCTCTGTAGTTATTCAGAAGATTTCCTCTTGAGGGCAAAAAAAAGCACACTGTGATGGCCTGGCTGATTATCTGGTGCATGTGGTCATGTCTTAGCCAAACACCGTGTCTGGCTGCAGAGACATGAAGCAGTATCTGCTGTCTGTGAGGGCAAGGGCTGGATGGGGAGGAGGAGAGGCAGGCAGGTCCTGCTGACCTCCCTTCTGACATCTGATGTGTCCTTTGTGTCTCTGTGTTTCTGTGGTTTTCTGAAACCTGGAGACACCCATGGTTGTCTGAGCTGCTTTCTCGAGATGCTGGAAATGAAGTCACTTGCATGAGAGCTGCTGATCAGGAGAAACTGCTTTCCTAGAGATGGCAGAAACACCTGCCATGGGGAGCCAGAACTCTCACAAGCTGCTCAGCTGAACTGCCAGTGAAGCCAGACCCAGACCCTACCTTAGCTCAAAACTGAGCCTTTCTCCAAAGCACCACCCTCATTTCAACCTAAATCTCACTTAAGCTCAGTCTGGACCAGATGCCACCTCCAGCTGCCGTGGGCTTTATCTCCAGGTGCCCCAGCACTTACCCACCCTTCTCTTTTGACCAGTTCTCCCCAGCAGCTGCATCTCCCAGTGGATTAATACCCTGGGGATGATTTGTAGTTGCTCCTTCCCTGTTCTTAGTGAACAGACAGAGGGATCTGGGGCAAATACAACTTTTAAGACCTCCCTCCTCCTTGCATGCAAGGGCTCAGACCACAGCATATAGGAGACACTGTTGCCTATCCTGGTTCCTTCTATCAAGGAGCAGCACGGTGCTAACCCACCTCTGCCATTTCCAGCCTGCCCTCTGAGTAGGACAGGGCACAAAGCCAGGCTTGATATCTGTGCCAGCTTTAGGCAGAAGTCCCTGGCTGCCATGAGGATGTCAGAGATAGTATAACTGAGAACTGGACATCGTATCTCCAAATGCTAGACACCTCTTGCACGCAAAGCTCCTCTGGCACCCAGTGCTGCCATAAGCCCTCAGGTTCAGATTACTGCCTCTATGTGGGATCAGTTGTGTTACATCTGCTTTCTTCCCTCCCAAAGGTCGATATTCTGAAGGCACTGGGTGTTGAAATTGTGAGGACCCCATGCACCAGCTTTGATGCTCCAGAGTCTAACATTCGTGTGGCCTGGAAGTTGAAAAGTGAAATCCCAAACTCTCACATCCTGGACCAGGTAAATGCCATTCCTCCAATGACTCTCTTTCCAAACATGGCTTACAGCATGTGCTCCTACAAGTGTGCCTCTGTTTGGGGACTTCATTCAAACTGGCAACAGAGAAGATTTTGCCAGTGTTCTATGGTGTTTGAAATGTAATTGTAAAGCATGGGGTGGCAGAAACAAAATAAGGGACCCTTCCAAACCTGTAGTACTTCTACCAGGGCCTGGACGTGGGTAAGGCTGGGGTTTCCTGCACAATTCAGAGACTACTTCAGGTGTACTTTGCTTCAGATTTAACTTTGACCTGAAAAAAGTCAGTTCCTGCAGTGCTGGGTCTTGTACAAGAGGGCACTTCTGCTTTCGGTCTGACCCCGCTGCGGGAAGGCATTCCCAGAGCAAGCAGGGATCTCCTGTAGTGCAAAAGAGTCAGGGAAGCTCCTTCCTTTTAAGAAAAAGGGAGCTCAGTGTCTGAATACACTTTTCAGAAGCAGCCTGCTCTATGGGTGTGAACATGAGGCTGCACACATTTCAGTGCTGTACCTGGGTACCCCTGTGGTAAATCCCTCTGTACAGGTAGGACAGCTACACTGCCCCACAGCTCCCAGCCACCTAAGTTGATGCACTGCCAACCACAAATGCCTCTAAATGACAAAGCAGTTCTCAGAATTGCATATGCATGTATGATACTTGAAAGAAGGTTTTCCAATATGGCTTTTGTGCAGGGATATTTTTTCCCCCCAGGTTTTTTAGCGGTGTTGTGGGGCTGTGTTTTAAACCTTTTCAAGGCAACAGAAAAGGTTAAAATGCTTCTGTCTAAGCAATAGCTAAAATACCAAGGAGCTCTCTTCCCTCTGGCAGCTAGGGCCATGACAAAACCACCAGAGCCCACAAAACCTGGGACAGCCACATTGTATAGGCACCACGGGTCCCAGGGTGAGCGTTTGTGAGCACATTTAATCTTCCAATGTGGACAAATCCCAAGTGTCCTTGGAGATCTGTCTCAGAGTGACAACCAGGAGCAACACCAGTGACGTGGCCTGGCCAGGCTGCAGTTCACCCCCTGCCAGGGAGAGGAGGGGGCAGTCGCATGCTTTGGGTAAAGCTCATCAGGAGCTATTGCTGGTTTGGTATGTGACCTGTGCTTCACACCGCGGTAACTCATGCTGTTCTCTGTTGAAATAAACAGTACCGAAATCCAAGCAACCCCCTGGCTCATTACGACACCACGGCTGAGGAGATACTGGAGCAGTGTGAAGGTACTGTCTGTGCTGTTGTTTGTACATTGTATGTGCTGAGGATGTGCAGAAGGCTATAGCCCCCTGGAGAGGCTTATTTTACATCATTTATTGACCCAAATGTCCAGAAACAGCCAAAAGGGCCTCTGTAGGTGAAGGCACCCTCAGCAATACTGACATGCAACTTCTCTTAGCCCACTGCAGATACACCTGAGCCTGCAGGGCTTCCCTGCTATGGCCTCCCATTTCACAACCCTGAGGGAGGAGACCAGACGAATTCAGGCTGTTCCCAAGGAGGAAGAACCAGTTTGTGGCTACAAAATCTCTGTGACCTGTCAGCTGCAAACACAAGATGGCCCAAGAGGCCTCACAGGGGAGCATAAATGCATCAGGGCATGGCGGGCTGCATCTGATCCAGCACATTCATCTGCAAACCAAAACAGACTGAAACTTCACAGACTAATGATGTTTGATGTGATAGCTGCTGGAGGATGAAGGAGCCCATGTCTATGTAGATAGGAGTGAAATTTATTGCCAGTACTGGGAGCACTGCAGAATGTAAACAGGACTCAAGGGTTTTAACTGGAGAGCAGTTATCATAACACTAAAGCAGTTGGGTAGCAACAGGAACAAAGGAGTCCCAGCCTCCCCTTCTGCACATTTAAATTTGCTCCTGCTGGCTGCCAGCAGTAGTGAATTACAAGCCCTTTTCCCAATGCAGATGAAGCACAAGTCTCTGACTGATTCTGCTCCTACCAGTCTTAAATCAGCACAATTTCACTGATGCCACTGAGGCTACATCCTACCAACACAGGTGCCAGGGCAGAGCTCTGCCATCTCTCTGCTGTGGATGCTAACACTAGCAGAGAAGTAGTGCTTGTTATTGATACGTGTTGTTATTAATGTAGATGCTTTGCTTCAATGTGGTGTGGTTTGAAAGGCCTGGAAGTACTGAGATACTCCATCCCCCTTAAGCCAGTGGACAACAAAGACACAGAAATCATGAAGACCAGTGGGATATCTGGAGGTCACCTTCAGCCTCCTGCCCTGCAAGCTCTTCTAAGCTTCTGCACAGGACCTTGCTTTGACCACTAGCACGACTGTTGCCTACCCTAGAACACGCGGGGTTCTAGCAGCTGAGGGGCACGGGCTCTGCCTCTGTGCAGGGCCCTGAATAGAGGGAAGACCATGCTGGAGGCCATGCCGAGGCCTTGCAAGCTTCTCTCTTCCCTGGCCCACAGGCAAGGTCCACATGGTGGTGGTTGGGTCTGGCACAGGAGGCACCGTCACTGGCATCGCCAGGAAGCTGAAGGAGAAATGCCCAGAATGCAAGGTAAGCTGGGTGGCAGGGCTGCCTGCTGGGAGCTGCATCTCCCTGGGTTTTCCTGCCTGTGATTGAATCAAACCTAACCCCACGGCCCACCTCAGCTAGCAGTTGTGGTCTTCACCTATGTGTTTTTCCACAGCGAGCTTGACTTTTGTTGGAAGCAATTTGCCATTGCAAAAGCCTCCCTGCTCTATGGTTGACACCAGTCATAGATGCTCATTCTGCAGAGTCTGTGATTCAAAGCAGACTGGAGGGTTGACAGTTACTGCCCCTCTGTGAAGCCAGTGTGAGAGATACCTGATTCAACAGAGGCAAGTTGAGATAGCGTGCACCCAGCTGCTGGAGGAGCTGGGGATGAAGTTACCTCGCTGACAGCTTTCACCAGCCCTTGTTATGCCGTGTGCTGAGGGAGGAGACCTCAGCACAGACGTAAAGTTATAAGCAACCAGGGAGGTGTCACTGGCAGCACAACTAGATCCAGAAAGGATGTTTGTAGCCATGGGTTTCCAGAGGTTTGAGCTATCTGGCACTGCAGCAGATTAAAGAGCACTCACACTATCCTAAGGGTTGGGCTTTGGAAGTAGCAGTCACTGCCAAAGAAGTGAGGACAAACACCTTAAGAGTGATAACATTTTAAGCCACCAGTCACTTCAGCAGCTGAACACTACCTAGGATCTATTTAAAAGGTCAGTGCAAAACAGTGTCCTTTTATCCTGTAAGCTCTCCTTGCTGCCAGTGGGTGGAATATTAATGGATGTTATGGGAAGGAAAACATTGCTGATAAGGCTGTGGGTAATTTTGCCTGTGAGTGGTTTAACAAAACTCCCTTCCCTCAAAGGTAATTGGTGTGGATCCTGAAGGCTCCATCGTTGCTCTGCCCAGTGAGATGAACACAACAAACACCACAAACATTGAAGTGGAGGGCATTGGGCATGACTTTATCCCTACTGTCCTTGACAGATCAGTAAGTAGCCATGTGATGAAAGGCCTCTGTCCCATCTTTGGCTTTGCATCCAGCCTACCCCCAAGGTCAGAGGTAGCCAGCTCTCGCACCCAGTTATATCTAAGGCTACCTGTGTGCCTTCCCACTGCAGAACAAGCTGTTGTGGGGGGACTGAGACCCCAGCACTAAAGCATCTGAGTAAATCTGTTTGTAACTGACCTACAATGAGAAGGTAAATACAGGGGTAAATGAGGAATATGTCACAGTACCACTTCTCAGCAGCCTCTTTCACTGTGATCACACAGAAGAGGTCAGTCCTAAGGCTGCTCTTCATCACCCTAGCATTTCCTGAGCCATATAATGCAACAGACTATGAATGCCATTCTGCTTCTTATGTTTCTTTTCGGTGTATCTGTGGCACCAGGTACAGAGCTTTAAAGCCCTAACTCAAGCTGCCTGTGTTCCCTAGTCCTCGTTCTTAGAAAGGTCCCCCACAGCCTCAGACCTCAGATTCTTTCTGCTTTCAGGTATTGTGCTGACTACCTCTCTGTTGTTGGCACATGGCCTTAGAACTGGGACCTGTAATAACCTCAAACTCTTTTTGTAGTTGGGTCTGATTTTGCCTTGCAAATATTGACCATTAGTGTAACACAGCCTAGGGCATCATGGACATCATTCCCTCTACAGCACCCTGATTCTGGAGCTTTCAGACATCCCTAACTCTCCAAGGAAAGGGTGCTGGCTGGACAGGCTAGAGTGGGTGCCTGCAAAGCAAAGGCATGCCCTGCAGACCAAGGATGTCCTGACAAATGTATTTGCTTTCAACAAGTATAGAAAGCAGCTCAAAGCTGCCAGACATTGTAGGCATCAGCACCACGGAATACCTCAGAGGGTAGAGAGAGCCTGAAATAACACTGCCAAGACCCAACCTTCTTGCTTTTGTCTTTAGGTGGTCGATCAGTGGTATAAATGCAACGACAGAGACTCGTTCCTCATGTCGCGCAGGCTGATCAGGGAGGAGGGACTATTGTGCGGTAAGCACCAACAGCAGCTGCTTCTCTTAATGCATTTTCTGAATCTCATCCTTTTGAGACCAAAACTCTTTGGTGCGGGTGCTCTCTGCATTTAGTGCCTGCTGGACGGCTGAACCCTGAGCTGGTGTGTAGGGCCGTGTCTACTGCAGAGGTATGGCAGTGCGCCTTTGCTCTGGGATCTGACTCATTGGCCACAGTAATTATAGAAGCAATAACTCTCCTCTTACCGGGGCACTTCTGCACATGGAACTGGATCTTCAGGCCTAACCCTGTGCGGTGTAGTGTTACAGGGGCTCAAGAGAGGATTAATGGGGCTCGGGGCAGGACAGGTGGGCTAGAACTGTTGCTCCACTGACAACTCTCTGAGGCAGTACACTTGTTGAACCATTGCCACACACACAAGAGGGGCCAGCTTTGGACCAAGGAAAGCTTGGAAGTAAAGAAAGTGTAAGATGTTCTTACTGAGCGTTTCTCCCTGTGCCAACAAGCTGTAAGTGATCCCATCAGCTTTCCAAAATGAAAGGATGCCCTCAAACAAACCCTGCCTGTGCCCTAAGAGCCTCTACAGAGCGTCAGCGTTTTAGTCAGCTTTCCCTGCCACCGAGCAGCTAGCCACAGGTTCCCATCCAGGATCAGGCAACACGTAGGCTTATAGTTACAGCTGATAAAAGCCCTGAGTGCTCACATCCAGGGAGTTTTGGAAAAGATCAGGCCATTTGTAATGGAACACTTAAATGTTGATTTAACCCAGCAGGCACAGAGTCATTGTGTTTCACCACAAACCACTTACTGACCCCAACTATAATTTGTGAATAGCTCCATGTTCCCTGAACTGCATTTTTCAGGGCCTTTCCCCATTTGTTTGAAAAATGTGCTAATTAACCTGCTGTAAAATACGTGCTGCCTTGAATGCAGTGTGTAATTGGCACACAGATAGTGGAATGTGTTTGACTTCCAGTACTTGAACTACTGGTGGAAGAATTGCCTCTGTAAAGCAGGGACCTGCTTCCTTACGTGCAGCAAACCACATGTGTGCACACAGGCGCAGGAAGCATTCAAGTCTTCCATCACGTTGGCTTGGTATTCTAAGCACGAGTGTAATGTTTATGGATTTTTTCAGTCTTTACAATGCATTTAAAGCCAATCTTTGATTGCCAGATATGTCAGTTAGAAGGTCTAGTTTTGGTGTGGTCTTCTCATCACCCAAAGGAAGGGTATGCTGTGGGCAGCAGAATGTCCCTGTGTTGAACCTTTCAGACCTTGGCCTGCCCACAGACTCACCACAAGAAATGGTTCATGAAGTTCATAAGATGACTCTTAAAGCTGCCATGAATGCCAATTGCCAAGAGCCATCATATGAACATATCCCTTCAAACCCCTACCTCTTCCTTATCCTAAAGCCTATGGGGCTGTGGGGCTGATTGTTCTCCTATTCCCAGTGTCTTGAGCCTGGTGTAGGAGGTGCCACCTCTGCTACTGCTTTTCCTGGGTGCCTCTGTGCCACTAGCCATGGCAGTGCCGTGCCCCATTCACTGGGACTGTGGTCCTACACCCTGGGCAGCCCCGATGCTTGTCTCTCTCTTCTTGGTACCCACCCAGGAGGCAGCTCGGGCAGTGCCATGTCTGTTGCCGTGCAGGCAGCCAAGGACCTGAAGGAAGGTCAGCGCTGTGTTGTCATCCTGCCCGACTCTGTCAGGAACTACATGTGAGTTTCATGCTTCCTCACCTGCTTTCTGGTGTTGGGTGGGAGCTTCCACAGTCTTCTCCCCAACTCTGCATATGCCACGGCTTGTGGCCATGGGGCCCTTCAGGGACATGAGCTTAGCACTGCTGAGCCCTGGTGGCATGGGTTGCTGGAGAACACCCCAGTACGTCTCATTGGATGGCACCCAGTGTGAGCCCAGAGTTGGGAGTCCCCCTGGAGCAGCTCATAGGAAAAACAAAGCAAACAACAGGGGTAAATAGCATACTGCTGTGGCAAGCACCACAGGCCGGCTCTTGGGAGGCTTGGGTTTTATTTCCTCTTGTCACTGACTGACTGCACGGAGCAGGAATCAGTCAAGCTACGGTTTTTGAACTTGCATGCCTAAAGTTAGGAAGGCAAATAGCTGACATGCTTCCAGGAGTTACTGAGCACCCGCAGCTCCCGCTGACCTTAAATGGGACTAAGAGCAGCCAGCTGCAAAAATCATGGGAGCCCCGGGGCAGTGCTGAGGTCTAGTGCATGAAACAAAGCACGACTTCTTCTGGAGGGCTCACAGACTCGCTCTTTGTTGGTCATTTCTAGGTCCAAATTTCTGAATGATAAGTGGATGATAAAAAACGGGTTCCTAAACGACGCCCAGGAGCAGAAGCCTTGGTAAGACAGCTTCCAGTGGTACAAACTGTGCTAAGAAGCCAGCTTTCTGAGCCTGGAAATTAACAACTTCAAAGGAAAGCATTATCTGTTAGTATTTAGAAAAACTGCAGTTAAGGCTGGATCCCTCTGGGGGGGCTGTAATGTCAGCTCCTCTCTTCTGAGTGATCGGAAATCCCTGTTCTGCAATCAAAGTCTGTGAAGGAGATGTTTACATCCTGAAGTTGCTGATCTGCTCGCACATGGCAGTCATTGTCCAGACCACCTAAGCCCTGCTGAGCAGAACAGTTGAGGGGTACATCTAGCTCCACTCACAACCTCCTGTCCTATTCCACAGCTGTGTTCAAAGGAACATGGGGCTGGCAGGGAGATGGGTCTCTCCCGTAGCAAGCACCCTTTCAAACAGCTCTGAAGGTCTTTTCAGGAAGGGAACAGTATATTTTCACTTTCCAGAGCTTCAGGCCAGCAGAGATGAGCAACTGAGCTGTCTCTTGGATGCCATGGAGAAAGAGTCCCCTCAAGGGACTGCTGATGCCAATTGACATGCAGCTGAGCTGATGCCAGTTGACATGTGGCTGGGCAAATGCCAGTTGTTTAGAAAGCACCTAGTCTCACTTTGAAGACAGCAGGTATTACTGATGTCACCTGCTCCTGCAGGTTACTATAACCAAGGGTTATTGCCAAATATTTCCTAAAACCTCAATACATTTCCAAGGCATCTTGTGCCTGTTTAGAATTTGTCTTCCAGCCTCTAGCAAGGATGAAGGGCTGAGATGAGCTGGGAGTTGCCTGTGGTCCCCAGCAAGCAAACGTAACTTGTCCTGTATAAATCACTCGAGCATCTCTGCCAGGCTGTCTCCTGGAGGACCTGCAGATGCTGCATTTTGAGGACCAAAGATGCAGGCCAAAGAAGTAAAACTGGCAGTCCTCACCGCTCATGAGCTTGGAGCAAAGCCCTCAGTAACTCCCTTGGATTCAGGACAGCTCCACACTTTGTCAGCTGCTGGTCTCAGCCCTGCCTCACGAGTTGTATGAACACTGGGCTTGGCTTCAACAAGACCTGGCCATGGTGGACTTGTAGCATCACTGCTTTGGGGATAGAAGCGGGGTGATCTTTGCAGGCAGGCAGAATGTCTCTGTGTGGCTGGTCTCATCTCTGCTGGTCTTGCCTCCCTGAGCAAGGCCCACAGCAGAGGGTAACAGCTTGGTGCTGCCATTTGTCTTTCAACAGGTGGTGGAACATCAAGGTGCAGAAACTGAATCTCTCGGCCCCTCTCATTCTCCTCCCTGAAGTCAGCTGTCAAAAAGCAATTGAGATCCTCCAGGAGAAGGGATATGATCAAGCTCCTGTTGTTGCTGAATCAGGGTAACTATTTTTACAAAGATAGCCATTCACATAGGAAAAGCAGCCACAAGGAAGCTAAAGAGAAAGTGCCTTTACTGATCCCATGATGGGGCTCTTGCGCTGGACTCTGTGATGCATAAGCGTGTCTGTAAATGAGTCAGTTAAAGTCAAAACCAAATTCAGTGCCCGCCAGACTCAGCAGAGGTTGGATCAGTGCAAAGGGAGGCCACAGGAGAGGTGAGGGCTGGGTGGAAAACCCACGCAAGTAATCAACTGGAGAGACTGCAAGCTTTCCTTCTCCCATCTGCTAAGTCCTGCTCTGCAATAGCAGACTTTAACCACTCTTACAGCAACAGCTTGGGGAGGACAAGAATCTTCCTGTCCCACTAAGATGAGGAAAAAGTTGGTGCCTCCCGTTGACAGCAGCAGTGATTTAGTCACTGACTTTGAGGGGGGCCGTTCAGCCCCTACATAAATCATGTGCTCTGTCTCAGCCCTAACCTTTTGGAAAACTCCCTGTTCCCTTACAGGCTTATTTTGGGAATGGTGACCCTCAGCAACACCCTCACCTCAGTGCTAGCTGGAAACGCACAGTTCTCAGACTCCGTTACGAAGGTCATCTATGACCAGTTCTCAAAGGTACTGCTGTGCCTGGTGGCATCCGCTGCCCAGGGATGGGGACATGGGGAGAGAAGCATAATCACCCTGAGGTGTGACAGGAGCTGGGAGAGAAGGTCAATGAAAAAACAGAAAGGTGAAAGAAGAGAGATGGGAGGGTGTTGGCAACATCATGGAGATGAGAGTAAGGACAGGCACCAGCAAAAATGCTGCTGAGCCTGTAGGGTTCAGACATGGGAGTTTTCACGCCAGGAGCAAAGTGTGTGAATGTCCACCTCCAGTCTTACACTGTCAGAGGGTTTTGTCCAGCTGGGGATTCAGCACCCTCTGAAATCAGAGCCCAGGCATTGCCTGGGCTCAGCAGGGCTGGGACAACAGGCACGGGCTCTGGTGGGTGTGCAGGAAAGGGATGCCTATGTTGGATGTCCATCAATGGTCCAGAGAGGGAGTGAGGTAAATGTATGGTGTTTTAGGGGAGCTGGAGCCACCTCCTCATGCTAGCCCATGGAGGCCCTTGGGCTGGGGGGATGCTTAAAGGTTGGACTTGATAATCTTAAAGGTCTTTTCCAACCTAGCTGATTCTACAGAAAAACCTGGTTTGCAGGTGGCCGGCATCCCCTCCCATCTCCGCAGAACAGTGTGAGTGGGTGAGGTACACCTGATCTTGATCCAGCTGTGTGGCACCTTGGCAGCTCATGGCGTAGAGGCAGGAACCAGGCTCTGCTACCACTCTCCTTTAAATGTGAAGTGAAACTTAAAATGTCTCTTTCTGTCCTGTTCAGATTGGCCTGGAGGACAGCCTCGGCAAGCTTTCCAGCATCCTGGAGAACGACCACTTTGCTATTGTTGTACATGAGCAAATGCAGTGTAGGTATCTTCAGCAGCACTGTGTGGGCTTTGCATGAATGTCTGAGAGGGGAAAGGCAAATTCTCAAACTGAGCTTGGTAGGTATAAGCCCCTACAGGAAAGATTTCTGCCCTTTGGCCCTGCAAAGCCCTGGAACTGCCAACTATTCACCCATTTCCTTTCCTGACACCACAGAGATGAGGGGAGAGAAGGGAAGCCTTAATCAAAGGAGTCCAGGACTAGCACCAGGATGTGCATCCTGCAGGAGCCCTTCCCAGATCCTGGCCATGGGAGCTGTGTTGTCCTCTCCATGCAGGGGTGACGCTGAAGCACCCATCATCTCAATCCCCTCCCTTCATCTCATGGTTTCTCATAGATATCCACTTCTGGGGCTGAGAAGTACTCATTAAGGGATTTCATTTGGTCCCCTCTGACAGCCAAGGTGGACTGTAAGTAGCACCTTCGGGTGCAGTACATTTGCTTCACATCTGTAGGCTCAGGCCTCTAGTTCTTGTTTAGCCTTTTGGCCTTGAATTCAAATCACTGCCTTACTGGTTGTGAGCAACAGGGGAAACAAGGGAAATGAGAGATCTCCGCAGGCTTAGTACCCAAGGCACGGTTGAAAGGATGCCTACAAGAAATCTGGAGAAGGCCTTTTTACAAGGGCATATAGTGTTAGGGCAAGGGGGGAATGATTTTAAATTGTAGATAGATTTAGACTGGACATTAGGAAGAAATTCTTTACTAGGAGGGTGGCGAGGCACTGGCACAGGTTGCCCAGAGAAATTGAGGCTGCCCCATCCCTGGCAGTGTTCAAGGCCAGGCTGGATGGGGCTTTGAGCAGCCTGGTCTAGTGGAAAGTGCCCCTGCCCATGGCAGAAAGGTTGGAACTGGATGATATTTAAGGTCCCTTCCAACCCAAACCATTCTGTGATTCCATGATTCTATGAAAGGAGCATTTGTGCACATTCGATAAAACTTAGGTGGAATTTAGGCATCTAAGTGCAAGGAAGTAAACTATACAGTCTGCATCCTGTTGCTCAAAGACCTTCCACTGTGCATGTGCAGAGGCTGTACCATCTTCTGAGCACCCCTGTTCCCGCTTGCCACCCCTAGAGATGCAGCTAAGAGACATTCTTATGCCTGTGTGCCCCAAGGAGCCTAGGGAAATTGATATGCTGAGGGACCTTAGGGTGCTATCTGATGCTGGTGCTATCAGACACCTACCCTGGAGGTCCAGGGTAAGTTGAGAAAGATGAAAACAAATGTGTTGGACCATGAGCAAGCCCTGCATCAGAGGCACATGACTCAAGAGGCACAACATACACTGAAGGGTACAGCCTGGGGCATCTGTGTGCGAGCCTTACCTGGACCACAGCTGGCTGTAGGGATGCTCTGCCAATTCAGGAGCACCACTAGACCAGTCCAATAAAGCAGCTGTACCAGCAGCTTTGGTTTATTCTCAAACCACTGTACAGCCACCCCCTCCTCAGTGAAGCAAACCACTCAGAAGTCACATGCAATGGGACCACATGAGGGCTGCTGACACATCCGTAACAGAGGTATCACACCTTTCTGCTCCTCTGACCACAATAGATATGGTGGCAGGTGCTGTTCTGCAAATCTGACCTAACACACCCTTCCAGGGCAATTATACTGTAAAACCTCTAGAAGTACAAATCTGGCCTTATCTCCGGGGAGTTGCTTTGTTTAAAATGTTAACAGCATGAAAAAGCAGCCAGAAGACTCATGCTTAGGTCTTCTAAATTAGAGCTGAAGGGTGTAACTGTACTAATTTTATGGGATTACACATGCTACATGCAGAGCATTCCTACAATATTGTGCTGTGTTGACTGCCAGCAAAGGGCTGCCTGTTGAACCCAGGGTCTCTGAAACCAGCCACATGCAAACATCCCAACTCCTTTGCTTCCTTCTCTATAGCCTGCTGCCCCAAAGCCGGCTCTAAAGCTGGCTTACGAGTCTAGACATGTTCCCGCAAACTGCTGCAAGCAAAAGTCTGTCATTCAAAGCTGCCTTTGATTCACATTTTCAATTCACTCACTGAGAATAACGCTGGGTAGAATCTCCTTTCTCAGCTTTGTTATCACAAAATAGTGAAGATCTGTTTTGTATCACATTTCAACATAAATTAAATGGTACCCACAAATTAAATGGCACCCACTGAAAAACATCTGCCAGCTGCATGCAGTGCTTCTTGTTCTGGTTTTCAGACAACACCCATTTGCTTTTACAGAGCTGCTGTTTTAATGCCGTCGCAGTTACCCCCGTATTTATTACCTTATCCCCACACCTTCAGAGCCTGCATTTTATCTCGTGTTTGGGCTCTGGTGGCTAGTTCTATTTTATTTAAGAAAACATTTATCAGATAGTCAAAGCAATTCTTGCAATGATGTTTCATTAATGGTGGTGTAGGACGTTATGCGGGCAGAGTAGAAAGTGCCTCAGTGCTGCTTTTACAGTCTCATTAGTTTGGCCTGAAAAGCTTTGAGGTGATAGAAGCAAGACTGGAACAGAGGTTGGATAAAAACAGCTGGGGAATTAAGCTTCCTGCTCTGGTAAAAGGTACATTATTTGCAGCTAAAACCTCCCTGATATGATCCTAGTGACCTGACCGAGGCTCCATCAGTCTTTCCTGTTGAGGCAGAGCAGAGACAGCTGCTGTTCCATTAAGGTTTTTGTTTCATAAACAAACAGCAGCCCCTGCACAGCTGGGTGGGGGGTTCTTCTGGTTGTATTTCCACTAAACTGGCGTTTTCTGTGCTTGCAGTCAATGGGAACGGCAGCTCCTTCATGAAGCAGATGGTGTTCGGTGTGGTCACAGCCACGGACCTCCTCACCTTTGTCAGCAGAAATGAGAAGAAGTAGCAGAGCAGCTCGGCTGTACCCTCCTCTGCTCCTCCGGCAGAGCCAGCTGCCCCCCGAGCCTCCACCTCCCGGTGAGGTGCTTTCTGGTCTGATCCAGCCGATCATTTCTCAGAATGACTAGGTGAAAATTGTACTGTAATGACCATTTGTCCGCTAAACGCCATCCCAGAATACCACTAACAACAAGATAACTAATGAAATTGTGTTTAATAGCCATGCGTGGTTACACGGAGCTTCCCAGGTATGAAGGGGTAACACAGGGAGGGGTGGGGATGGGAAAGGAAAGGTTGTTATTGCACAGATTTTAGCAGGTGGGGGCTTGGTGCTGGGAGGGTGGTGCCAGACTCGTTTCAGTGGTGCCCAGTGACAGGACAAGGAGCAATGGCCATAAACTAAAACACAAGAAGTTTCACCTCAACACGAGGAAGAGCTTCTCTATGTTGAGGGTTGCAGAGCACTGGGACAGGTGCGCAGGGCGGTCGTGGAGTCTCCCTGTCTGGAGACATTGAGGGCCTGCCTGGACACGTCCCTGTGTCACCCACTCTGGGTGGCCCTGCCTTGGCAGGGCTTGGACCAGATGATCTCCAGAGGTCCCTTACAACACCAACAATTCTGTGATTCTGCCATGTATTTGCTACCCATAGGTACCAATGCACTGCTGGTGCTGCCACGAGTCACCCTGGCCACACCAGTACAGGAGCCCATCTCTGCTGTGAGAGAAGCAGGGCTGGGGCAAGCCACGTCATGGCTGCACCCTTCTGCCCCTCTCCACCCTTCACAGGACAGCTGCAGGCACCCCTGGGAGACCCTCCTGCGTATCCCCAGCTCTGTCTGTGGACCAAGGAGGCAGCAGGAAAGGCAGGGCCCCAGAGGAGTGGTGAAGAGTGAGGAATGGGTGGGACATTGCACCCCGGTATGTGGAAGGTGGGGCCCTGGGCAGGAGAGATATGAAGGGAGAGCCAAAGGCTGCGATGGGTGGGGAAAGGATGGCTCCCATAGTTGCAACCGGCCTTTTGAAAACACTTTCCTTACCTCTGAGGGAGCTGGCAGCACTGGGTGTCTCTAGCACAGTCCCTCAGGATGGGGCAGTGAACCAAACCTGTTCAAGAAGTAAAGACTCATTCTCACAGTACAGTAACTGGGAGAAGGAATATGGCTTCATCCCTGTGTCCTGTAACAGTCATCTCATGGATATGCATCCTGGGAGCTCGTTATTGAGGGGAAGGAGAAGTTGATCTTAGTTTTGCTGTGAAGGCACTGTGTTCCATGAACTGATAATGAAGGTCATAAGAGCCATTTGCCATGTCAGCACTAAACATAAATGAAAGCAAAAGTGAAAGGAGGGTGGGCCATGAGATCAAACCGAAGCACCATTGAAAACTGGTTTGGGGGAGTTGCTCTCAAAGACACTGAGCTTTGCCATAAGTCTTTCCATAAGTCTTGGGAGCTGCTCCAAGGTGACAACAGCCAATTCCAATTCTGGTTTGCTGCCAAGTGTTTAGTCCATACTTTCAGCCTAATCTAGTTTATACAAGACTTTTATTAAATTATAGAATGCTGAAGTATTTATATTTAGGAAGAATGTCTCTGTTGTCTTTTCCTTCCTGAACACGAGCTGTATCAAATCTTCTGCAAGTTTTTGCTTGAGTAATAACCATATTTGTTGGGAAAAAAGTAAAAACTGATTAGCTCAGCCTCATCGTGTTGTATTTATTTTAACAGCTCTGTTGCAAACCGAAGGATCTTAGTCTGGGTATGTATTCCAAACTCACATGAGTAAAAGTGCCCTGTAACTCCATGGAGCCCAGACCTGAGCGTGAATCTGGACCACCTTGAAGCCCAAGGCTGTGGGGGACAAGCCTCGCTAAAGGGCTGTCCTCTCAGGAACTGCATCTGTTCATGTAAAACATGTGCCATTACTGTGAGTTTGAACAGAAACAAATACACTATTTGATGCATTTGAGCTGATGCTCGCTTGCAGAACAGGCTCCTGCCCGGCACGCTGAGCATGGGCGTGCAGAATGTGTCAGCTCTCAAAACCAGCCACCTGAAAGCCCAGATGATGGGCTCACAGCACGTAACAACAGTCCAGGTATCAGCTGCCCTGAACCTCTCTGCAGTCTGCATGGGCCCTACGGATTAGCCCCTGTGCCCCCAGCAGCAGCAGCGCTACAGGACAGGCAGCTGCACTCAGCAGAGGTGAAGTAACTGCTGAGTATTAGTCACAAACACAATGGCTTTTATGTGCTAACTGTGAGTGTGGGAACCAATAAAGTTGGGTGTGAGCCCTGGACATTCCGGGATTGCTCCACATCCACATTGCAGACACATCCAGCAGTGGCATTTCCCTGGCTGGCAATGTCGGTGTTGCATCTGTGGTGTTTTGTCACAGACTGCGATCCTGAGGATGCAAATACACTCCACAGCACGCACCAGGGCAGAGCAGTGGCACCGCGGGGTGCTCGGTTGGATGCAGGAGGTAGTGAGAGGGAATGGCTGGTGCTGTTCTGCCCACACGTCTCTGGGGAGGAAAAGGCTTCAGGAAGCAGGGGATGGGGTTTCACTTGCTTTGTCTGCAGTAATCACTGAGGGACCTGTAGAGACATGCCTGTACACAGCGTTCATGGTAGAGCAGGGCCAAGAGCCCAGTGGGTGACCTGTCACCCATCACCCACTGTCCCTTCTACCAGTGACAACCCCTTCCAGATAACTGGTCTTTCAAGTTCATTTCCCTCCCCTTGCCACCAAGGCCATACCAGTATTTTACATGTGCAGTGAGACACAGCCACCCAGTTCAGTGTATCTGAGTGATCTCGGGCTTTGTGGGGCATGGTGGTCACACATATCTCCCAGAGGAACGGGGATTTTCATCTTAAGGAGCTGTGAGAGGGTGGCAGGAAGAGGGTGAGGGCTGGGCAGTATTCCACCTCAGTATGCTGTGCTCACTGCACTGAGCACAGCATAGCTCCATTGCAGGAGACAAACTGTGGTCCAGCAGCACCAGCCCATGCTCTTCTGCAGCACCTCCTGCTCTGAGGGGCACACGCATGTACATGAGGGAGCTACTCTCCACAGTCCCATCTGCTGCGAGGTATTTCTGTTTTTCATCATCCCATTCCTCTGCAAGGTCGGGGGTGTCGTGGTTTAAACCCAGTCAGGTAATTCGTTCGCTCACTTCCCCCCCTTTCTTGCCCTCCCCTTGCTCTCAGAGGGACGGAGAGGAGAATCAAAAGAATGCAACTCCCACGGGTTGAGATAAGAACAGTTTAGTAACTAAGGTATAACACAAATCACTACTGCTACCACCAATGATAATAATGATAAAGGAAATAACAAGGGAACAGAATACAACACCTCACCACCCACTGACCGATAACTCGCCCCCCAAGCCCGACCAAGCTCCGACCGATACCTCCTCCAACCCTGCAGTCTCCCAGCCCTTCCGGCTAACTCCCAGTTACATCCTGGGCATGACGTGCTGTCGTATGGAATACCTCTTTGGTCAGTTTGGGTCAGGTGTCCTGTCTCTGCTTCCTCCCAGCTTCCCCTCCTCCCTGGCAGAGCATGAGGCTCACAAGGTCCTTGGCCAAACCAAAACATCTCTATCAGCTCTGTTCCCGAGCCGAAAGTCAAAACACTGCACTGCACCAGCTACCAAGGAGGAGAAACATGACTGCTACTGCTGAACCCAGGACAGGGGGGCATGTTTCCAATGAGCTCATTAGTACATCAGGCTAAGATGATTTCACACCAGAGAGCAGAGGGGACCCACAGAAGCTTGGGGGAAGCTTGGGCTGCCTGTGCTGGTCAGGGCACCTGGATTATGCCTGCATGTGAAATTCATGCCTACCTCCTCCGCTGAGACACATGGCCCTGGCTCCAGGTGTCTTAATCCAGAGGAAAACAGCCATGCAGAGCCTAAAGCACTTTAAATGGTCTGTGTCAAGCATGCCCCAGGAAGCTGCATGGAGACAAGGATAAAACGTGTGCCCTGAGAAGGTCCATACCCATGTCCGGCTCCTGAGCGGGAGCACTCGGGGGTGCATCACCCCAGAGCAGGCTACCCTCCACCCGTGCTGCCTCACTAGACTTTTCAAATCAGTTGATTTCCCTCTGGACACTGTTACCCATGTTCCCGGCAGCCTGCGAAGCGCAGGGAGATGCTGACGCTTCAGAAACCTTGTCTGAAGCCTGCAAGGAAGGGGGTGGGGAGATAGCACAGACCTGCAGACAGCTGGGAGATGCCGGACTAGTCTGCAGCCAGACAGACTAAGCCACCAGCAGCAGCAAGATAAGCATCTCCCTGGCCCTGCCCGCCCACCTTTTGTGCTACGGAGCCTTCCCCGCCTCCTCCGTCTCCCCCCACCAGTGTTTCATCGTGGAGCCACCACCAGCAGCACATAAATAGAGGATCCAGGGCAGGCTGTGGGGCAAAGACCGGAGACACCACTTGGGGTCCTGCTCTGCACCCTAGCATCCGTCCCGCCTGCCCGACCACCCTGCAGCAGGTAACCCGCGCCTCGGGAGGCCGAGACCCCGGGGACTTGGCTTGGGACAGAGGGGAGCACCTTGTCCAGCCTGCATCCCGGCTGTCCAGAACTGAGGGGGGACGAACTAGGAGAGGTGGTCGGGCAAGTGCAGGAGGCTGTTCCCGCTGCAGCTGCTGAGGGCCAGACTCCATGTAGTGGTTTTGTGGGAAATAGGCTCTGTTGGAGAAGCCCCGTTCCATTCATAGGTGGGGTTGGAGGTTTCAGCAGGGAATGGGTCTGCAGGGGAAAGCCTTTGGTAATGGCAGTTGACAGTAACTTAAGCAAGAGTTTACCTTAAACCCAGGAAAGCTTCAAAGGCTTTCTTTTTTCGAACTGGAGTTTGTGCTTTCAAGCTTTTTCTTCAGTGTCATGCAATTTTTAAATATTATTGCTTAAAGAAATGTTAAGAAGCAATTACAAGTAGTTGCATGTCTGCAAGAGTAGGAAATTTGGGCTATCAAATGCACAGCGTGAAGGTAATGATGTAAGTGCAGTCAAAGGTGGCACTAGGGCAACTGGAGAAGAGACCCAGCCTGGGAGGACCCAGTGCAGGAAGGGATCAAGTGTATTTAATGCAGCAGCACCTAAGGTCAATCAGAGGGAAGGGATCCAAAACTGTGGCTGCACTTAAGGAAATGTCGGGTCTTGAAAAGCTGGCAAAGAGTCCTTAAAACAGAGAGGGGAGTCAGCATGAGCTGCCAGGCGCTGCTGTGCATCCTTGGAGCTGCAGGTGGAGAAGGAGGGAGCTGGCACAGGGAGGGGATTTCATCCTGTGAGAGATTCTCTACTTGAGAGCATTGGAGAAGGCAAAGAGCAGTGTCCCACAGGGCCACTTGACACTGGAAACAACTTCCTTAGAGAAGCAGGGTCCCAACTGCAGCAGCAGCCACAGGGATGTGCCAGCAAAGCAGAGAGTGCTTCTTTGAGTCCTTCAAGTGCCCATGCCTGAATGCCTCCCGGGGACAATTAGTCACTGAAACATAAAATATCAGTATCATTATAGGGGTGAACATGTGCTGTTTGCTGGCCAGGGCAACCATGGCAAAGCTCAGCGTGTGCTGCAGTGTGGACTTTGCTGCCACAGTGCCCATCTTGTGCTGTCTGAAGGGGACAGCCACAGCTGGTGGCTGGAGGACACCTCGGTAGAGCCAGGGTGGGCTTTTGGGCGCAAGACTTCATGTTTTAAGGCAAACAATGCTGGCCCCAGCACACTGCAGATGACCAAAACTGTGGGAATGGGTTATGGGAATGTTGTAGGGGTGCAGACCTTGTGGGTTTGGTGCGCCCATGCCCAGGCTGACACCTGCGCTGGCCTCCCCTTTCTCTCCCCAGAAGCATGGCTCTCACCAGTGCCCTTCGCCTGTTGCTTGCCTGCCTCCTGCTCGGTGGTGTGGCCCCAAAACCTACGTGTGACCCTGGCGCCTGCACCCCGTGCCCTGACAGGGACATGGAGGAGCCAACCACTGCTGAGGGCTGCTGCCCGCCCTGCCCCGCACCCTGCGCCTGCCCCCCTTACCTGGAGAGCGACTGTGAGATGCAAGGCTTCGCCAGCGGCCACGTCCCCGTCGGCCGCTCCTTCTACATCGACTTTGCCCGCAAACTGTGTACCTGCCACCCCGGTGGGGACATCACCTGCACCCCGCTGTGCCCCAGCCTGCCCCCCACCTGCCAGGCTGTGGGCAGCCCTGTGGCTGACGGCTGCCCACAATGCGTGTGCTATGACGAGGAGGAGATGGCAGTGTCCGCTGGTACCACCACCGCCCGGGGGGACCAGGTTTGTACCTGCCCAGCCCAGGGAGGCCGGCTGCAGTGCAAGAACAAGGAGTGAACTGCGCTGTTCCCTCTGCCGGCAAGGGCAGGGGGACAGGGGAGCCCCTCCAGCAGCAGGAGGGCATCCTCATTGGGAGGTATTAAGTGCTTCAAACTGGTTTAGAGGACTTGGCGATGGCTGTGGCCGTGCCAAAGAGCGCTAGAGAGGTGCCTCATTGTATGTCATGTATACACCAGGGCAAAGCGTCTATAGCGGGTGAGCTTGCTTCGTTTAAGTTTTGTTCCATGGCGGTGGTCTATGAGAGCTTAGACTGGTTGCTGCTAGCATGTAACTGGAGCAAAGGCAGTTATTTATTTATTTGTAAGATGGTTGTGCTTTTGTACGTGTTTATGCAGTCTGTCTATATAACTCGCTGGATAAACTTCCTCCCAGGAGCCAGGGTTTTGCTTCCTGTAATTCCATCAAGTTCAAGGTGATGGGACCAAACTCAGAAGGCTGGCTGACATCCCTCTCTCCAGGCTTGTTTTGAGGTGGGAGGAGTAGGTGGGTTAGCACAGGGCTGTGTCCTTAGAAGGAAGCAAATTCCTCTTGTGCCTGCATCCTCCAGAGCAAAGCCTTGAAGACTCACGTAAGGATGTTGGCAGTCTAGGGTCAGTCCTTCACAGCCACCTCAATGGACTAGTCACCCAGGGCCGATACCATTGTCAGTCCTTGACATGTCCCAATACCTCAGACTGCATGTCAGTGACTGTGTCCTCACTTGTGCTCTCCTGTTACCACTGGAGACAGACACAGGGTACAGCAGAACTGCGTCTTCTGAATGCTTTGATGTATATAGATATATTACACACACACACACACATATATATATGCAGAGATACTTCAATAAACACCACAGCTTCCTCAGGCTGAGATGTTAACCAGTGTTAATTGTGTTCTTTCAAGAGGTTTAATAAAATCAGTTTTACCAATAAACTTCTGAAACCTACTGATAAGCACGCATGTAATTTCCTATGTGTCAGCTGGTGTTACTCAGGCCAGGCGAGCCTTTCTTCAGCCACCTTGCCCCATGTATGCCTGAAAACATTATATGTGCCCTCTGGATTTTTTCATAATCCTCTCTACTGCTCTGACTGCAATAAAAACAGTGAGACGATCAGATTCAGGGCGAGGGTTAGAAGAATGTTGGAGGAAGGAGGGGAATTTGCCTTTCAGGATGAAACACGTGTCTCTCAATCAGGGCTGTCAGAGGCTGACCCTGCCCAGGGCTCTAGTGAGCCTCAGCCAGGGATGTAACAGCTCAGCATACCCCAAAACCACTGTACCTCAAAGCGGGGCCTGTGGCATAAGAGCATCCGAGTGACTGCACTGTCCCCCTCAGCCCAGCCACCCCACTGATGGCTCTTGGCTGGTAGCTGCAGGGTGGGAGCAGGCTGGGATCCCCAGCCTGGACTCTTCCCATGTCTGGAGGGCTCTCAGGCATTAAAAGGGAAAAGGGTTTGTGGCCTTGCAGTGGACAGTTTGAGAGCACATGCTGGTGACATGAGGGGACATGTTCTGTGCGGAGCTGGCAGCTGGGATACTTCCTTGCACTGGCCCTGCACCACCTGCTGTGGGGACACAGAGGCAAGGGAGCAGGAGAGGAGACAGACACATTCAAGAGGGAAAACTGCCCCCCCCCCCCCCCCCCCTCCATGCGCCTGGCCTGTGCCTTGCAAGCTCCCCAGTGGGGATGGGACAACCCTTGTGGCCATCACTCACCCTACAGAGCTGGAGCACTCGGCAGTTCTGCCTCCAGCCTGTGTGATTCATAGAAAACCACAGTGAAGCCGGGTTTGGTGTGGGTGAGGAAGAGCCCTCACTGCAAACCGAGACGTGATGCGGCCTCACAAAAGCTACCACAAGCACAGGAGGCACCGACTTGAGTTGTGTTTGGGAAGTCAGCAATTTCCACAGGGCTTCCCAGGTCAGAGCTGAGAAACTTGTCACTTGCAACACCCAACAAGGTTAGGAAACACCACCTCTTCTTTTCCCTGGTTTTCTGAGGTAGGTGTTATAAAGGAAGGTAGACGGTGACTAATACTGAGCGTACAACAGCAAAGGTACACCTCTTCCACCAGTGACTTTACTGCAGCTGAGCTGTGGAGAGGGGTCACAAATCACCCTCGCCAGGCAGAGAGGTTGCTCACGCCTCTCTGTCACAGGGAAGGGAGCCCCTGCCCCCTCTGCTCTTCTCCATTTGGTTGAAAACATCTTATTTTTCACTAAGGTCAAAGCTCAGTTGTCAACCCCCAGACCACACAGCAGACATCCTGTGCCGCTGCTGGAGCCAGCAGCATGACAAATTCTGCCCACTACAAGGCAGTAATTACATCTGCCCAGGTATTAACAAACAGCTGAATTAATTCACATCCTGTATATAGAATCATAGAATCACAGAATGGCTTGGGTTGGAAAGGACCTTAAGATCATGTAGTTCCAACCCCCTGCCATAGGCAGGGACACCTTCCACTAGACCAGGTTGTTCAAGTCCCCCTCCAGCCTGGCCTTGAACACCACCAGGTCCTCTGGGCAGCCTGTTCTAGGTAGGGCCACACCACCCTCACAAGGACGAATTTCTTCCTTGTAACTAACCTAAATCCCCCTTGTTTGCTTGATGCTTGCAAGGTGTGAGCATTTTAGTCCTTGGGGTTGGGTCTTCTGTGTCTGACAAGCATTTAAGGAAAGAATAATGGGTTTGCAAGAGGAGTGTTTGTTCAGAGGGAGTCACGAGTGATTTGGGCAGACTCCTTGCCTGGGCAGGGTGGTGGTCTGCTGGGGTTGCTTATCCTTTGTCACACATCTTATCTGTTGCACTACAGCTCCCTCCTCCTCCCCCTGCCTTGTGTGACTGATAACCTTTGAGGGAGAAAATGGCCAACAGACAGCAATGCCTGGGTTGCCACCATCTCTGATTTCAGGATAGCTTGCATGTGCAGGCTCTGCCTGGAAGTCTCACAGGATCTCTGTCCACGTTTCATCACCCTGAAGTAGCTGCATTGTGTTACGTCTTCCATGAACAGCACCAGCAGAGGGGAGAAAAGAAAGAAACCTGTTCAAACACAACACACTGTTCAGTCATCAGAATTTATTCACTCAAGTTTAATGTCTTGGGTTTTGTCATGCTTTATTGGAATGGGTGTTGCCCTGGATTCTCCACATTAACCACCCATGTGCTTGTCCGCATTTTGGACACAGTATTGCTGGCATCGTTACTTGTATTTTTCCAGCTCAGATTTTCCCCATGGACTGGACAACAGTGTAGTTTTGTGGCTCCTCATTTGCATGGTCACTGTTGCTTTGCATCACAGCCAGGCACGTTTGCAGGTTAGGAGCTGTACTTGTTTCTGAAGTGCAAAGCATCACTCACCCTTGTGCATCCCTGAACTAGCCCTGAAAACTGAGTCAAAAGCTGAAATTTATAACTCCTAAAAGTAACTCATTTTACACATAGTGCAGTCAAGTTGGGGGGGTGTCTGTGTTCTTCCTGTCCCATAACTTGTAAAAGATTGTCAGCATTGCTTTATTTATGGAACAGACAGGGCCTTTCTTCATTGTGCTAATGAGTCAGTCATTGATTTAAACAGAACCATGTTTTGGGCATCAATCCTTTTGACATGCCCTCTTTGTTCCTGCCTCATGAGGCTGTAAAATAGTAAGCTAAAACATTTATTAGTGGAAGCCTGTTAGGAGATGTGGTTTCAGCACAACTATACCCAGTGCCAGGAAGTTAAAGTGTTTCCCCAAGTCCTTCTACCTTTACTGACAATCTGCCTGCATTAGTGAATTCCTTCACTAAACACCAAACAGCTTCAGCTTCACTAAACACCAAACAGCTTTAGCATCCCTGCTGCTCCATTCCCCCAGCCTGCATCTGCAAAGCCAGGGTGTAGGAGGTGGGTGCCCGTCATTTTGTCTGGGAATTATTACTGTGTCCCTGCCCATGGCAAGGGAGTTGGAACTAGATGATATTTAAGGTCCCTTCCAACCCAAACCATTCTATGCTTCTGTCACTATGCTTTTATCATAAATCCTGATCCTGTGGCAGGTTTTGCACTTGTGATTTCTGATCAGGGTGAGAACAAGGTGACAGAGGTTTCCTAGAGGATGCCCTAGTTAAACTAAACCGTACCCACTCGATGTTAGTAACGCATTGGACTACATCACCCTAGAAATACTTTAACAGTTTGGGGGCAGGAAGGGAGGTAATATTCGACAATCATCTTTTGAACACGTTCCTCATCAGAAATTTTAAGCATATGTTGCTGCCCCGGATGCCTCCAGGCATACCAACATATTAACCAGCAAGTAGCACAAGGATGAGAACTAAACCCACATGCACAAACAGATCAACGTAAAAATATTACGAAGTGAAAGCTGACCTACAACACAACAGGATGCTGAGCTGAAACACATTTTTTTAATGCAACTTCTTTCCCTATCTCCTTGGTTCAGTATCACAGTGAAAAATCATGGAGGTATTTTAAAATAAATTGCAAGCAGTATCATATGGAATTAAGAGAATCCCCAAGTCTTAGATGTTCTCTGTTTTACCTGTGTTACACAAGTAACAGCCTTCCCTTCTTTCGGGTAGGTGGGCAGGGGGGACCAGAAGTGTAGATTCAGCACTTAAAACAGACGTCCTCTGGGAAGAGCAGAGGAGCCAGCACTGGGTTTTTTTCAGTCAAAACTACAGAACAGCAAGCAAGGGGCTGTATAAGAAGAAGGATTTAGTGCTCAGGAGTTTCAGGGCAAACTCAATATATGCACACTCAATACAGTAGATGTTTTGCTTCCAAAATTGAAAACAGAAATGGACTTTTCTGACCATTAAGTATGATTTCTTTAAATTAAGAATTCACATGATTTAATCGGGAGGGGTTTTGCATGTGTCCCTAAGATGTGCATATTTTGTGACACAGAGTACTACAATGTGCCTTTCTATGCCCAAGACCTTTCACTGGAGCAAACACATGTTATTAAAAATAAAACAACAAAACCAAACCCCACAGAAAAAAAAAAAAACCCACATCAAAAAACAACAAACCATGGAGACAAAATTGACACACATTGATAGGGGAAAATAACATACAAATTGCTTTAGGCTTCAAATGATTTAGCTTAATGTTGTGTATTTTTGCCAAAGACAGCTTATTTTCGGTTATCATTCCTATCCTGCATTCATAGCACATCCACAACTCAGTTCAGGAAGGTTGTTGGGCTTTTTCCAGCAAAGCTGGCTTTGAGTCTTGGAGCGATTCATGGAGTCATTATTCAATGCTATTCACAGTTCAAGAGACACAGAAAAAGCCTAGGGTGTGTAATCAAGGATTAATTGTTGCCAGTTTTTAAAGAAACGAAAGGG